TTATCATCCGAACTGTATACTTCACACTAAGTCTGATTGTGCTGCGTAATTACATTTTTACCGGTTTTCTAACTTATGAAACAAAATAAACAATATGCAAACTGACTGGTTCGTCCAGCAAACATGTGCCAGATATATATATATATATATATATATATATATATATATATATATATGTACTAGGTGCTTTTCATGCAAATGTTAGAATAATGTACCGCAAAGGGGTAAACATACAAACATAAAGTTACTACAGTAAGGATAGGGGAACATTCATCCAAACCACAAGTTATTGATAACGCGCTTATATATACGAAAACCATCAGAAGGATTAAAAACAGAAAAAAGGGTATTACATAGCCCCGTCATGGAAAAAGATCAGAAAAAAATGGAGGATGGGGTTAGGTTCCGACGTGTAACTCTTGAGCACGATTGATGGAATACCACCCACCATCTATGTCAAGCATTTAACGGACGCAATCCTAAAAGGATGATCCAGCTAGATATTAGGACTGTGATTAACAGTGAGAGTTTCAGTTTGAACAATCTTAAGCATGCACATTCGTGCGTGGGTTTAGGTTGCAGTCTTTTGGCTGCCCATTTAGAAGAACAATAGGAGGAAAACAGAAAGATTGAAAGTAGGATCGAAGAAAAAATTGAAAAGTTCAGTGCACTAGTGATGCAAGGACATTGAGAAAATGTACGAACGCCACTGTTTACGACACCCAACCATCAGTTATGATCATCCCGAGGTCCCCATCCAGAGAGCCTAACAGGACCTATGCGACCCAGACTCCTGGTTGGGGTTTTCATACCCTCATGCCAGGCCTTGGCTACCCTGGGCTTTATTCCACCCACTACCTGCCTCGGCAAACATCGCCTGCCGTGGCAACCTATTTGGAGACATGCGTAACACATGCCCAACCAGTGTAATTTGTGGAGGTCGACCACTTGCTCCAGTGAGCGACCGCGGTTGCCTAAAACTCTGCACCTAACCTCAGCATTGCTCGTCCGGTTGCCCCACCAGATTCGTGCAAGGCAGCGTAGACAGCGGTGTTTAGACACAATGTGAGAGGAAATAGTAGTGGATGGGTGTATGTTTTAGCTAAACGTAAAGAGGTGTAACTGTCTTTTCGGAGGGATAGGAGACCAGATAGCTAGGAGTGTACTTAGCTGGGGGAATGGGAAGACGAAGGGTAAAAATAACCGGAACTGCTTTGGCGAGCGACAGTTGGCGGGTTTATTAAGACGAACAAACCNGAACAAACCCGTGTTTGGTTATCTGAATGAGTGTGGAGCATTGATAACGGGCTTGGATACAACAGTGTTGAGAACGGCGATTTGGGGACAAACGCCAAGTTAGCAAGCTTCGTTCTTCGCACCAAATAAGAGGAAACGAGTGTTTGTAAACCATTCAGGGGAGTGCTGATTTCCGGGAGGGAGGAGAGGGCGGTGGAGAAATTTTGGGAATAAGCATGTGCATGTTTTGGAAAGCAGTCTTCACAATATTCTACGCTGGCGCCAGAAATGGGATGCCTGTCGCGGAAACCACTCTAATCAGCAGACTTGGCAAGCAAAAATGTGCGTCGAGAAGGGAATTTCGGGACGACAGATAAGACAATGTTCCAATGAGCCAGGAGGGGAAGATAGAGATAAATCCTCGAGAAGGGTTTGATCGACTGTTTACAATGCTAAGTGCTCTCGTTTCATGGCCAATGGTTGTGACCATCACGGAGTGTGCTAACCATTTGCTCTCTTGGACATTTAAATCATCAGAGATGGTGAAGATCGAAGTGTTGGAGTTTGATAGCAAAATGTTTTCAGTGCGTGGCGAACTAGATCACAAACACACAAGAATCGGAACTGTTGGTAAGAATTTCAAAGCAAAAATGTCGGTTTGAACTTGTGTACCGAAAGGTTCAAGCAGCAACAAAACTGAAATTCGCAATTAGAAACACCGAGATCAAATAGGGATTGGGGGGGGGGGGGGGGAGGGTAACTGGCACTGAATGATGAAAGAACACACCTCGGGTTCCAATGAACAGTGTGGAGTGAGAGAGATGAGGGATCTTGTGAAAAACATCAACGGGGTGGCGGGTAGATTCAAGGATGTGGTGCACAGAATAAATGTTGCAGTTGAGATCGCAAATCTTGATACGTCTAACAGTGTGAAACGATATACTACTGTGAAGTGCGCATATTCATGAAGAGAGATATTGGGAACCTAAGCTCTTGGACTTAGAGTAGAGAACCGTACAAGAACCCGGATCAGAAGGGCGCTATATTGCACTGTACGACGGCAGAACTGTACTATTAAGCGATGGCGACACAACCCTTTGTGTTTAACAATACAAGTGGGGATGTGTATAAACAAGAAGAAATGGTAGGACATTAAAAGTGGTGTCACTTATGACCAGACCACCAATATGGCAACATACCTATTTGACAGTGCAGGACAGAAAAGCCACGTGAATATCATGACATGGGGGTATGCATATGGTACAACCGAATGGTACAGGTACAAATGTTTGTTTGTTCGTATGTACTTCACACAGACATACAAACACGAGACAATGTGCATCTACCAGAAAAAAGTCGAGACAGTAAAAAAAGGAGCCGGAATAGGAGGAGGAAGTACGTCAAAAGGGGATGTTTAAGGTGTCCAGAATCACACCACATCAGTCAGAAGCGACTGGACCATATATGAAGTGATTTAGTTACCAAGACACAACATATTAAAGGGTACTCACAATGAAGGTCCGAAAAAAGCACGACAGCATGAACAGACTCGATTTCGACCGGAACAGCGTACCTCCTGTGAGTGTGTTCACCAACCCCATACCCGGACTATCACTCTGGGATGAATAGACCATGATTACACAATGGTGGAGAAAAATCCAAGCTAAAGTATACAACATGTTTCAACACAAACGATCACACTGGGATCTGAACGTCACCAATGACAGGCAAGTATTTAGTCATCTATACGTAAAGGGATGACCAGAAAAAAATGAAGTGAGGGAAAGAAATTGGGGGAGGGAGAGGGTCACACAAGCAAGCACGGACTGGTATTTTGAAAACCAAAACAGTGGGTGAATTAAGTACAAGGGGAGACTTGAAGTCAGCGTTCTAATACTCCGATATGCCAGGTTGCAACATGACAAATTCAGCCGAAACAGGTGGGTACAGGTATCGGTACAATCTTTCATTCAACAGCCAGGAAGAATGCAAAAGCGGACTTTTGAATGAGAAATCCTGAGAAGTGTCGGCTGGCCATCATATGAATGCAGGCCAACAGTATCTTTCCTCCACCGACCCGAGTCATAAAATNCCCCCCCCCCCCAAAATCCAACAACAGTAGCAGCAAAAACAACAACCCAATCCTTTATCACGTACAAGCGTGACAACATTTTCAGTGAGGTTACCACGGCTTGGAGATACGGGTCTTTCGACCTTCTGTGATCGCAAGTACCGAACTATAGTGGATTAACTATCCTTTGAGACCAGTGGCGGATTTGCTTTTGATTCTATGGTGAATTTTATTGTATATAGAGAAAATGAAGCGTGAACTGAAAAGCTGTCTTGACCGGAAACATTCCGAAACTGGCTACACGTTACTTAAAAGTATTANACGTTACTTAAAAGTATTAGAGGATTTGTTTTCCGATTACGAGTCATAAACCTGGAGGCTAGAGCTGAACTGCTCGAGGTGTGAGGTCAGCAATAAGATCGCAAAGGTGTGTTGTGCTGGATAAATCGTATGAATACAAAATAAAAAACTATCTGGTCGGTGATCAAGTGAGTGGTTAGGGATTAGTTAGCGAACAATCACGAAGACCCTATTTAATAGGACTCTGCATAATAGAAAGTTTCAAGTAGATTACCGTTTCTATTTTTCTTTTTTCTTATATTCTTTGCTTTTCATTTTTACTTCCTTTTTATTAAATGGGTAATGATACAATTTTCAAGAAGGGGAAAGCGGCTAATCAAAGGTCT